CGTTTCATGAGATTGAATTGAATATAGTTTAGTCAAATAAACTTAAAATTATTAAGTTAAATTGAGATGTCGTAGTACAATGGTGGTATTGAGGGGGTGATGAGAGGGGAGTATATCCCTCCCAATTGAGACTTCATTAATTCCTTTATATGTGTGAATTGTATAAGTACATATTGAAAAAATAATAGTTTATGGAAATTGTTAACTGTAATTCTCTCCCCCTATTAATATTTAGCCGTAATAATATGATCATAAAATTGGATCTGAAACCTCTTGACGCATCTATATCGATCGATCCCAAGAGGTTTAAAACGGAAGAACCATTCCGGTAACGGCGGTGTAGGTATATTAACGATTAAAACACCGGTAGGTATTTGAACTGATATACAAAAAACTTAATTTACTTCTTGAGTGACCTTTACGTGTATGAAGTTTCCGTCACGTTACACACATGAATATCAACTTTGGTGGGCAAACGCATAAGCAAATTTATGAAATTTATTCACCGTCGCATCACAGCCTTGACGCAGTGCGTGGTGTTGCAGTATCACGGAGATTGCGATATTGCGGTCAGTGGTAACTGAGACCCACGACACCACCAGAGACCTATTATATCCGGTCATCAGATACTCGTCGTCGAGAAAAGTAAAAATCTACTGCTCGGGGCTATATTTTTTGATGTAACGTTAGTACCTTTCTTTTTTATACACACAGACGTATACGTAAATGTAACTATACCTATTCTAAAAGAAATTTGAAATATTTGCGATTTTGTACCTATACCGTGCTGATTTTATTTCTTTTTTAGCACAAACAACAATAGCGTGTTTGTTAAATGCGTATAATTTTTTTTCATGTGTAATGTAATTTTCAATAAGTGCATTTCTTGTAATTTGCAAACGACTTTGATTGCATGAGATAGAAAAGGAAAAAGATCAATTTTTTCACTATTTCTTAGAGTTGTTGTCATCGCTTAACAACTTAGAATATATAACTCGTCTAAATTGATAAATATTAAATACTAAACTATTTGCTGTAATCATATGAATTTTTTCGATGTAGTAAATTATGAAGATCACAGTTTACGGTTATTTTAGTATTTTGGTGGTCTAAATTCATAATTATTAATTATTCTAATAACTTATTACCTTGTAATAAACAATTATCCAAATATAACACCAAATGATTATTTATAAATTATTTTACCTTTAAGACTATTGAAGAACGGATGTTAAAAGATATTTGTTTTTATTGATTTTTACGAACATGATATTATTGACTTTATACGGAAAGTTTTTTGTTTCTGTAATATAATGTAATCACTCAAGTTCAATTCATATTTTTAAGGCACAATTTCATAGTATAGATAACAATATGATGGATGTATAAAATATTGTTGAAACAAATTATACAGTAATATTATGTAACCAAAAGTATTATACAAATGTATTTAGTAACTACTGATTGATTTGGATATATAACGTACAATATTATTTAGGTTAGGAGCATTTTTTAATAAGTATAATATAATGAAATAATTAATGTAACATTTGATGTAAAGTGATAAAAATATGATCTTCAAAAATGAATACTATGAGTAGTGAGTAGTAGAAAACATTTGTTTTAGTTGTAACTTAAGTTCTAAAAATCGCTTCAAATTATTCTTCGAGACCTAAAAATTAAAATACGAATAGAAATTAAACTCGAATTGGTGGTACTAGCAGCAACAGTTAGCTTTATAAATTACAACTTAAATATTATCTTTAGATTTTTAGAGAGCGATGAATGCATTGACTTTACAATGATATCCATGCGTTAAAAAAAAAAAATGTTGTTTCTAGTACAGAAAATGTTCTATAACCTATTTATTCACACCGATCTGTGGTAAATCAAATCGACTTGGTGGTATAATATACAATATGATAATAATTAAATATTAATAATATAATAAATGCAATGCTTTCAAATTAATTCATCTTACCGTAACACGTACTAATAGTTCAATAAATTACTAGCAATATCAAAAAAACATAGTATCATAAAATGTACTTAGTAATATAATCTGACAGACCGTCTTTTTCGTTCGTTTTTCGTAGCAGTGATTCATCATTGAATTCCACACATATACTGAACACGTACATAACAGTTACTTACCTACTTGACATGTACTGTTGGTAACCTATAGCAGAGCGGTTACCTACATTACCCCCGTTTTTGATGACTTAAGTAAATTAGAATTTCTGTTTGAATTTGTATCTGAATACAAGGTTAGTCATAATTAATTCAGCATAATAGTTCAATGTTTCAAGATTTTTCAACTTTTAGTAAAAAATTTTTAAAAAATGCGTTAAACTAATTTTAAAATCCAGTTAGGCATAGTTATACATTTTAATGGGAATCAAAAGGCTGTGATAGCAAAGTATAACAATTTATCAGGCTTCAGAAAGTTATTATATTCTTTTCAAGAGCACTCTAAATAATTTTAAATACTAGTAGAACTGACGTTATTCAAAGTCATTCATTATTCAAACACAATATTTGTATTCAATAAAAATTCACTACTTTTATCAAAGAGATAAACGATTGTTCAATAAAAGTTTCTGTTGTATGCAATTTATTACATTTTTAAAAATATGTCAGTACAAAAATGTATATAATAAGATTACAACTAGAGTTAATCGCATATTGATATTATCAATATTTTCCACACAAAATAAAGTGACATTCAAAATCGTTCATATTATGTGTAATTAGTAAACACGATTAGGTTAGAGAAACTATTGATTGATTTTATTAAATCGCTTCCTTAATTGGGACAGTTTTGTAATAAAACCCTCGTGACGTGACAAATTGTCCAAGAGTTTAAATTGTCTGTCTGATAAACCTCTTCTATAGTTCTATATTATATACACTATATTTTGCAGGATGATACTAACCTAAATAAATTCATCCACATATATTTCAAAAACACAAACTTTCTCACGATCTAATGACTTAATATATAATACTTCATATAATAAGTAATACATTTATAATTCTAACATCATTCGTTATAAATCAATATACTTTGAATAATCTAAAAAAATTTTGCCTTAGCCCTAAGTACATTGAGAAAAATTATTTATTTGTACACTTAGGCCAGAAATAGTGTTGATTATACGTTTATATACTTTTCATAAAAGTTAGCCTACATAAACAAGTTAAGGTTGGGAATAGTGAGTCGTATGATTTTAAAATATAAAATTTCAGAGAGGAATCAAACGTGGATGAACGCGTAGCTGCAATAAGAATCATAGGCACCTCTACTGATTAAAATTCCTCCTCCAATCACCTACCACGATTCGGTTTGATGTATGGCAAAATACTTGGCACAAGCCACAAAGAAAAACAAATAATACCTACTACCTATACAATATAGACACAGCACATAGCCAACTGACTAAAGTGTAATATTTAACAATAATATATTTAAATAGGTACCGACCTCATATTAATACAATTTAGTTGGTTTGATTTATATTTTAATTTATTATATTTCTATGTATTTTAAAGTAACGTTTGTTATGATTTTACAAACGAATATTTGGAGGTAAAATAATAAAACAATTATAGAAGTACTTTTGAACTCGATACCATTACTCCACATTTAATGTCCACTCTCTAGTTTTTATATTGTATATCTACCTATACATATTATGTTAATGACTAATAGTGATTTAATTTTTAATTTTGTTTTAATTGGCTGAAGTGAAACTTAGCAATCCTATCCCTTATTTGACTCAATTTGTAATTGCTATTTTTTCTGAAATGATTGGACCAATCTTCATGAAACTTGAAATACATACAAATTAATATCTGAAGACGCATTGATCTGTGGTGCATAGAATAAGTTTGGTATTTCTAGATTGTTTCAATTAGTAATTATGGTTAGTTAATCTTCACAATACAAATAAGATGTCCTAATTAATGTACAGCTACAACTATGATACCTAGTGACTTTAAATTTCCATTCTACCTTCAAGCCATAATGAAAGAGTGCACTAATAAATGATTATTAAACATTTGATCCATCTGTTATACATATATATATATAGTCACATATATAGATTCACATTGTTTGAATAAAGCCTATAACTTAAGTATTTTAGTATTGTAATTACAGTTTACTGGCCATTATTAAACAAAATATTATTTATATCGTTATACGATACATTTTAAAATTATATTATTACTTAATATTCAATAAAAATTAAAAAAGTTGATAAAATAAAAATAATATACTTTTACGATTGACTAAAGTCTGTCAATTTTGAACTTTCTATAATAAAGTGAATGATTTGAAAACCGTCTTTTGAAATATAGTTCATCTGGAACAAAAAATCTGGGGGCAATAATTACGTCATTCATATTTTATTTCGTCACTTTTAGAAATGTCTTAATATTATCGAGCAATAAACATTTTTAAACACTGTGGTATGTATTAAATTATCCCGGATTAAATATTTATATTTAGTACTATAAAGTACAGTGATAATATGTCGTATACACTTTTATAATATGCAATAGTAAAGGTACTCACCTGAAAGAGTGATTTAAAAGTTTTCATATAAGCTAAAGTGGTTGTTCAGCTTTTGTAAAGTATAAAAGTCGACCCCTATAAGATACAAGTTACTACAAACAGTTATATTGTGTGAATAGAAATTAAGTTACTAGCAATATTCAGAGATCACATTTAGATGTAAAATTGGTATGTGTAAAAATCTGTGAGTACTTTAAACGTTAAGGGAAGTAATGTTTTGATTTAAAAAAGATAAGTGTACTAATAAAATTATAATCAATTTTTTTAAGCAGTATTTTTTAATAATAATTTGTGAAGACGTAGAACGTATGCTTAAATATATGGTTTTTAGTTTTTTGCTCTAATAAATACGAATTTCAAATTATTTATAAAATATTGATTCAATACAATTGTGCATAATTTTTAATGATTGAAATTGCAGATCCATCTTGTAATGAGCAAACAGTCCCAGCACCATCGTCGGTACCACGGGAAAAAAATCTATCTGCACGACGATGTATCGAAATTGCCTATTCACCGCGCCGGTCAAATAATTTAAAAAATGCAAGTTGATCCGTGAATGCTTCAATATTGCTAGATTACAGTGAAACCTCTGAATAGTGAACACTATATAGGTACATAAATATAAAAATATATACCAAATAAACACCATTGAGAGTTTGATGTCATTGTTTTACTTTGTTAAAATTAGACATTTACGTATACATTAATATTATAATTAGCTATAACTACCTTGTGATCGTAGCAACTCCTTCATCTCAAATTTAATTTTAAGTAAACTCGTTAAAACAATATTTAATTTGTTTTTAATCATTTTCCTCTGTTAATTTTTTCAAAAAAGTTCTGAACGTTTTAATTTTGTTTATTGAAGTGATTTTGAACAAACAATATATTTTACCATCTGGTAGGCACGCGCATAAATCAGGTTTTCCCGACGCGTGAGCGGGCAACATATACTACACACCATGTGATAAGCACGGATTTTCCAAATTTAGTTCTCTCAATTGCAGCTATTATCCTCGTGCTTTATTGATGGTCATTCTCAAAGGGAGTCGCACCGGAAACAGCAAACATTTGAGTTATATATGTCTGAATCATTGGGATGTGCGGTGACAGTGCATCTTTCCTTTAAATTTTTAGTTTTAATTATATTGTTCATCTTTTCAATGAAAACCAAGACTTACTTGGTACCGTTGCAAAGTCGGGGTGGATTGATGTTTCGTAAAAGAATGATAGGCACGCAAATTATATTCTGCCAATTAAACATTTCCACTTACGTGCATATTCCTGTGGTTTCATTCTTAAATTTGAGAGCACTGTTATACACTCATAATTTATCCATTCCTCTGATAACCATACTTGGATGAAGACTGTAATCATAACTCAAGCGGTTTTCAGTTGCTCGTTTGTTTCAGACAAACGGACTTGAGCATCACGTGCGTAGTTGTGTGGTTTTGCAGTCTTGTATTACATTACTCATCTGCTTTTGAAACGCGTGATGTCTTTTACTTTCGTGGCTGAGGTGTAGGTCGAACAATCGATATTTGTTTTGGAGGAATAATTGAAGACTTGAGGATAGTATATTTTACAGAGTGATTCATAACACATGCTCACCTCCTTTGGCTATCCTAAAAAATGCATTTATTCAGAATTCGATTATTGAAATTTTATTATTAAAGACCATAATAATATATTCAAATTTTTGAGATTTATTTTACTATTAAAAAAGTGTCTTATTATAGAAAATCAAACTTCCATTTTTTTTCATATAAGACCCCCTCCTCTCCCCATTTTAAATTTTAAATTATTTTATGGTTTATTTTTCTAAGAATGTATTATTTTGAAGCATTGAAATAAAAATTGTAGTAGATGTTGAGTAATTTAAACTTGTATACTAAGATTAATAAGTCCAAGATTTTGGGTTTGGGAGACATAAGGGCTATAGTGACTTGAACATTGTAGTAATTAATATTAATCTATAAACATTTATAATTTGTAAAAATGGTCCTAGTATAACAAACAGTAGATCCAATATTATGTATTTTTAATATTTTTGTAAAACCATTTCTAAGGACTTTTATCTTTAGTAAGAATATTTTAGCAACTGAGAAATTACTCGTTCAAACTTCAAATTAGGTACAAAATTAAAAAAAAAATATTCCTCTAAATGATTTACAGTAAAAAAGAGGGTTCTCATTTAAAAAACAGAAGACTCTTTAAAAGTTTGTGTGTACAATTTAAAAAACGTTTAATTTGAATACATATATTAATTATTATTAAATGAAAACACGCGAGTCAGCATGTCTGGCGAGAATTACTCTGTAAACATACAACGCAAAAATTACAAGGTGTTACAGTGACAATACATTGACGAATGACTGATGGACGTGAATCACTTCTCGGAAAACATTGAAACATGGATATGCTAGGTTATATTGCAAGGCAATTAAAAATACATATTAATCTTATTTTGTATCCACCCCAAACTACTGGTTAGGTGTACTACTTTTACTGGTCAGTTGGGGATTTCAATAGCTTTGAACCTTCACTGGACGACGTGGATCAGATTGCAAACAACTGGGTATTAATCGGCCCTGTAGTATTTCAGTCTATAGTGGATAAAGAAGGAAAAAAAGAAAGAAAAAACATCAACATGTATGGATTAAATATTATAATTGTTGAAAATTTAGAAACTCAGCCTCCTATAAAGTAAGTTTGAGGTGTACACCGTCATTGAGTAAGTCACTGTGACGGATGTGTCAAATCTGAATAATTTAAGAAAAACGATTCTGAAGACCAGTGAATCAATATTCGATACCTTTTTAAAAAGAAAAGTTTATGTTATATTATTATAAGTATTTTCTCAATTCGGTTCGTTGAACTAAATTTTCACATTTATGCTTGTAAATCAATATCGACGTACCTACCATATAATTGTGTGAATGGGTTCGTGGTATAAATATTCTAAAATTAGTATATTGTACCTATACAAACTTATAAAACTCATAAAATATTATGGATGACAAAAAGTGTCAAGTCTTTGCGATAAATATTTAAATTAAAACTCAATACAACTAAATCATTTGTGGACAATTCATAATTTGAACTTCAAAAACGTATAAAAAATAAATATGGTTAATGCCTATGTAATATATATATATATATCTATGTCATTCTTGAAATGCTTTAAGAACAAATTATGAGAATTTTTGTAGGTATTCGATTTACAGGCTTTTTTTTATTTAAGGACAATTATGTTATCAACATAAATCAAAGAAAAAAAACTAAAAAAAGTCAAATATATTTTAAAAGCCTATAAGTAAATCATTAAGAGTCAAAATATTTTGAAAATTAAATTATTTTTATAGAAAGTCAAGTATCTAAGGTTATTACTTTTTGAATAACAATAATAATATAGTTTATTACTGAAAAATTTCCAATTTATGTATTAGGCAGGTCTATACATAATATAGTTATTAGTTAGGTACTTTCCTACCTACTATAAATATTTTAAAACAAGTGACAGGTCCTATGTTATTTATATGATACAACAGATACCTATTATATTACATACATATTATGTTTGTTAGTTATTTTCAATTGCTAAGAAGTGTTCTGTGCATTCCCTACTTTTTACCTCCCAAAGCGTCAACTAGGGAAAAGATATTTTTACCAGAAACTATCTTCAATGTTGAAAATTGAAACAAATATTTTCTCCAAAATGTAATGAATGACAAAAAAAATTACAAAAATATATTCCTCGTTCCGCTCAGGACCTAAAATCGCCGAAAATAGTATTTTTATAGTTTTATGTATGGAAAATCTTATACAGTTACACCACACATACAATTTTTTCTAATGTCATGAGCTTGATTTAATGTTAATATAATACTGCTATAGAACAAACAAAATTTTGTGTTTTAATGGTTGAAAACTATTTTATAACAATGCTCTTTACATTTATATTTTGGTAATACAAAAAAATCTATTAGATGTTTGTAAGATATTCTCGAATTTCCAAGTAAAAATAAAAAAAAAAAACGTCCGATTTATTTTGTGTCTTGAATTTAACTAAAAGGTTCTGTGTATTCATCTCGTATTATTCAATACTTTATGTAGGCAATCATACACTAACGAACCGAATCGATTTTACTATAACTACATTTCATCAAGGGGATTTACATATATTGTTTTTTTTCACCACTGGACTAATGATCCAGAAAGAACCCTTCACTACACAAGTAATTCACTATGATATAAGGTGTGCATTTTGCCCAAAAAACCGTTAACCAATAATAAATTATGTATGGGTATTTCCTTATATTATTATTTTTACCACTTAAGTTCCTGTTTTTGAATAAACTAACATAAACAAATTGTTGAAAAATACTCGAACTGTTTAAAATGTGTTTAATGATGTATAGTTACAATGTAAAATGATTCAATATCACGTTTATGAATATATTCATCAATTTTTTCTTCTTAAAGTTTGATAAGTCTTACTTTTTAATTGTAAAGAATACTGTTCTTGAAGGTTTATGTCTTAAACGGTTGTACTGTAAACTTTTACTTAATAAAATAAAAATAAAAATTTCATAGAAGTTTTAGTTTTAATCATCTGATGCTACGTACTTTATTGTTTTTTCTTTTTATAAAAACAGTTTCAACATATTTAAAAATATTCATAAATTATGATAAAAATCATTATAAATAATCCATTATAAAAAATGATATTTTTAATTTTATGAAAATACTCACAAGATGTAGGTACGTATAAATTTGATCCAATTATATTAAAGTAATTATGATAGTTTATGTATTACTAATAACTTTGAAGATATATTTTTATTATTTAATATTATAAGGTATGAGAAATAATTTTGCTATAGTTCATAATATTTACAAATGTTAATTTTGTAAACATTATAACTTATTAATTTAAAATTAATATTATTTTACCTAATGGCTAATTTGATTAATTATTCTCGTTTTAGATGATAGTTCTGTATGAGTTTATGAAGACTTTAGATTGGTTGATTTAGTGCTCATGGCTTAATATTTAATACTTATATAATTGACATAAAATTGATAATTATTACTAGTTTTATACTTTTATTTTTATACAAACTTGTACACATCACGCTCGTTTAAAAAATAAACAGGGGCAATTATTATTTATTTTTCGACGTTTATTGATATTTTAGTTCTTTACGAGATACTTATATGTAAATAAATTAATGGTTTAAATGAAAGAACTAATTTTATAAAAGCTAGCTTAATTATTTATGAAATATGAATCTTATGAAATGTACACCATTTTGAATGTAGACATGAAAATAAAATAAATATTTGTGTAAAATAAAATGGTTTTGTGTCTACGTAAAAAATATTTATTTATCAATTTTTTCACTGCTATGAATAATTACCATATCTTATATTCAATGTAATATAATTTTCTCTAATTATTTTACCTATTTAAGATTCAGAGTGGGGCGATGAATACATTTCATTACACACTGTTATAATTACCTAAGTGACCTAAGAGTATTATTTAATTAATACAAAACAAAGTATCTGTTTTTCACTACCTTTTAGGACAGTAAGTATGCTCCTA